CAGGTGGAGAATCCAAGGTGGGTAGACAAATGAAGAATTTTTTTCTGATCCTATGAGTATCTCATTTAACCCTCCCAACCATCCTTTACTTATTAATTCATGAGTAAAGAGAGGCTTAAAGTATTAAACAACCTGCCATGGAATAAGCTAGTAAATGACCAGGCAAGATGATAGGAGTTTACTCCAATGTCAACACAATATATGAAAAATAAATAAAATAACAAAAGTTCACAAGCTTCACTTGTATAAAATAATATTTTTGCTATTCAAACTAATATCACATCATGGTCACTATTATTCATCTTCCTAAACCTTTAATTCTCATGCCTTACCAGATGCTAAAATACACAATAAATATGTTACCTGGCATTATGAAAGAATAACAAAAGAGCAATATCTTAATTTACATGTCTGAATAACACTTTTATTTTGGAAGTAATTATCTGATTCAAACATTCATGATCCTAAATACAAAGAATTCACTAAGACTCACTGTAGGTTGTAAATGACTTTATTGTGACCTTCCTAAAAGAATACTTATGAAAGAAAGAGTGAAGAGAGGGAGGGAGGGAGGGAGAGAGGGAAAACTTAAGCAAAACAGATCCTTGTTTTTCTGACATCAAATCAGCTTTCTTCCAAATGCCAGAAGCAGACTTCCCCAAAAAAGGGGAAATTAGACATTTTACAGTAATGATGAAAATGGACATTCATCCCTTCCTTATATATTTTCAACAGATGTTAAATCCCAAAGCCATGTTTTAAAATGGTCAGAAATTTTTTGTCTTCATCCTCAATTACTAGGCCAGGACAACATGCACCTAGTCCTATAGTCAAAGTTAATTAAAATAAAGGGTGCTACTAAGCTCAAGTATTTCATAGGGAACCAGGGATCAACCCCAAGCATCTTGTAGAAACTTTCAGCTTTCTGGTCTGACCATGTCTAGCACTATTGCCTGTTGTTATTAATAACATCTGTTGAATTTAACCTACAAAAATAACATCAGTATAAAAAATAAACAATGTTACTCCTTTGTTCATGCTTCCAGTTTCCTGAGCTGTTTTCCAAATTATTTTTGTTAGTAAACACATGCAATTTGCAGCAACATGGATGACGCTGGAAGGGATCATGCTCAGTGAAATAAGCCAAAAAGAAAAAGAAAAATACCGGATGGTCTCACTCATAGCAGGGATCTAGAAAACTTAAATAAGGGACCAGGAAAATGAATAACTATAAGAAAGTAAAAATCAAAATCAACAAAAACTATGAACCAGAGACACTTTTTGGGGGGTGGGGGCGGGAGGGGAGGGATTGGGGTCAGAATGGGGGGATTGCAATTGTATGGGGAATATAAAAATAAAATTTATTAATTAAAAAAAAAAACCTAGAAATTTTGTTAGTAAAACCTAGAAACTTCTTTTAACTACTAAAAACTCATAGGAAATCATATATTTATATAAATATATATATATATACATGTCATGTGATTCCATGATAAAAGGAGATTACCCTCAGAAAATCATCCTGCTCTTGAAGGAAATTATGTCAACTATTTCCATTACTTAGTGTAAAGCAACTTTGGGATGGTTAAACTGCAATGCTAGAATGCTCACAATGATACTTCTGGGAACACCTGATCTTTGATGCAACAGGTAATACAGCCCAGGAAATGTCCAGTCATTTTTTGGGTTCAGGTTAGAATTACCTTCCCTGCCCTACACACTTCGTGAGAACAGCAGACAAAATTCCAGCCAGAAACAGCCCTATGGCGTGCAATCTCTGGAACAATGAGAGAGGAAGTCTGCTTCTGGCATTTGGAAGTAAATGCTCTGACAGAAAGCTGATTTGATGTCAGAAAAAATGACACCAGCTAATTAGACATCTAGTGGCGGGTGGAGCAGGATAGGTACTGTTGCTGAGGCAAGAAACTGAACACCTGACCTATGAGGTATTATAAACTAAAGTTAACTCGATAAAAAAGATTAGTCAAGTGCTCAAGAATTTCTTGTAGGCACTGCTCTTCCTCCTCCCATAATGGTTCTCTCTGAATGCGCTCTGAAAATGGTTCACTACTCACTTGACCCAGAGAACCCTACAAAGTCATACAAATCAAGAGATTCAAATCTTTGTGCTTATTTTAAGAACACTCATGAAATTGACCAGGCCACTAAAGTTCTGCATATCTGAAAAGCTTCAAGTATCTGGAGGCTGTCATTTGACCAAAATAATGAGGCCATCTATCATCACAATGGTGGAGAGGAGCTGTGTGCACAGGCCACACAGTGGGGCTGGGTGCAGGGTCACTGAACCAAAAAGTGTTGAGTTTTCACATGCAGCAAGTAACACTGAGCCTAAGGCTTTAGATGTGGATTCTCTGGTCATCCAGCACATCCAGGTGAACAAAGCTGTAAGTAACAGACCTTACCAGAGCTCACGGTTGGATTAACCCCTATATGAGCTCCCCCTGCCACACTGACATGATCCTTATTGGAAAAGAGCAGATTGTTCCTAAACCAGAAGAAGTAGTTGCAGGAAAGAAATAGACATAAGGAATTCAAAGAACCAAAACTTACAGCCTGGGAACAAATTCAGCAGAAAACAAATGCAAATGAAAGTTTTAAAAAAATTTTTGAAAATAATGGAAAAGTAAGATGACACATGGAGGAAATTGTACCTACATTGCAATACTGTTAAAGTTTCAAGTGCAAACCAAGTCTCTAGAGTGGAGATGGATGATTCAAAGAAAAGGAAAGGGATTGAAATTGAAAGCACATATGAATGGCAGTCGATTTTTCTATTAGTAGAAAATTCCAAAATTGAACCTGAGAGTCCTGGCGCATTGCCAACATTTTTCCATTTCTTGTGATCAATTAAGACTAATAGACTATGGCCATAATTGCAAATAAGATTAAGTCAAAGTCATTAGGTTCCTTTCATGGTATCTGCTCTGGGGGGACAATGAACCATCTCTAAATCTCCTTGTCAATGCCCCTATTGTCTTGTTCCTACCCCTTTGTCTCCCAAATGAAGCAAAGGAAAATTTAATTGGATTTTACCTTGGGCCCCATAGTTGTTGATTGGTGGCTGCATGAAGTCTGAATAGATTCAGCAGGCCTTTAGTATTTGCCCTCATCTGAGAGGAATGTAGGCTCTGTGGCCAGAGACCATCTGCCAGACTAAAGTGCCCAACGTTTTCATTGTGTGTCTATCCTGTTCTCTGTCCATCATCGGACAGCAATTGTGTTAGGGTTAATAGCATGTTATTTTGGCTGCAAGATCCAAATTAAAGAAAAGGACTGAGCATCAACCTGAAATCCTGGATGTGGAGCTGATGCAGCAACTAGATACAATTTTGAAGAATAAGGGAGCAGTATCTTTATATGGAAAGAACATGAGAGAATGCAAGTTGCCAAAAGAATACTGTAGAGGTCTGTTAATTGCTGCCCATCATTCATTTCCTCCTGCAATGATTGGGGGAAAAAAAAGCTCTCCATTTCTTTTAGAGAAGTGTCCCACCTTATGATTCTCAGCCATGCAGTTTGACTCAAACATCTGCTTCAGAAATGTGTGCTGAGGGGCTTCCTTGTTGGTGCAAGGGGTTAAGTCTCAGTGCTATGAAGCTATCCATGGCCACTGCATCATGAGCTGGATCCCCGGCCTGGGAGGTGACCCACATGGCACAGTAGACCTCTCCTGTCTCACCTGCTGCTCCCCTCAGCAGTGTATTTCAGTAGCTCCTCCTGTTGTTTCCCTTTTTGTCTCTGGGGAATCCTTTCACCCCACACCTCTGGCTTACACCCCAGCTCTTGTATGCATAAAGGAAAAAAATGTGTCCTGAATAGCATAAATCAATCAGATGAATCAGGGTTTCTAAATCTTGGCCACTATTGACATTAGGGCTAAAAAACTCTTTTGGGTGGGGGGCTATCTTGAGAATTGAAGTATATTTAACAGCATCCCTAGACTCCACCAGATCCTTTTATGAAACTTTAATGTTTCCAGCTTCTCCGAATATCCCCTGAGGGAGAGGCAAAAACACCTCTCATATACAACCATTGAGTTAAACCCATCCTTCATTTTACTAGACATTTTACTTATTTAAACCTAATTTTGTACTTATTACCCATCGGGAAACACTCAGATAACTGTCAATAGCTCCTGGATGTAGTCATTAGTGCAAAGATGAGATTTACACAACCAATACCCTAAAATGCAGAAAGCATCTTAGAAATCAAAGACATTTCTCTCATATTCAACAATCTGGATGTGCAGTCCAGGTTGGTGGGAATTCACAGTCATTCAAGGACCAGGCCCCTGCCATCATATTGTTCTAACACCATAGTCTCTATTATTCTCTATGTGGTCAAAGCTGGATGACCACCATGTCAGGGTTCTACCCACCAAGAAGGGGAAAAGGGGTACACAATATCTTCTAAGGTTTTGGATTTGGAGTGCACCTCGCTGCCACATGTGCCTTTGGCAAGAACTTTGCTACATATCCACACTTCATTACATGTCAAGCAACAAATGAAGCCTACTTGCCCAACCATGTGCCCAGCTACAGAATGTCTGTGCCTCCACAAAATTCATGCTGAAGCCCAATGTGTTGGTATTTGGAGGTGAGGCCATTAAGAGGTAATTAGGTCATGAGGGTGGAGCGCTCCTGAATGGGATTCACCCTTAGAAGAAGAAACTCAAGAGAGGTGATCTCTCTCCCTCTCTCCGATGTGAGGCCACAAGGCGGTGGCTGCCTATAAACTAGAAGTGGACACTCAGTAGGAACTGAACTCTCATCTCTGATTTCAAGCCTACAAAACTGTGGAAATAAATGTCTTGTTTAAGTTGCCCTGTCTTTGGCATTTTGTTACAGCAGACTGGACTGACTAAAACAAACACCATAATTTTGAATGGGAAAAAGAATTTTGGTAGAAAATTAGCAGTCTCCATCTATCACCCTGTTACAAATGAAGATAGTAAGATGCAAAGCTAAAGTAACTTGCCCAAGTTAATATGGTTGGCAAATGGAACTGGAACACGGCAGTTTCATTCTAGAATCCATGTTCTTAAACACCATCACTACTTTGCAAATGTTGTGAGCCATAACCTAAAAAAGTAAAGAAAAACATCTTATTTAGCAACCTAGCGCACATTTGCATCTATGTACATTTTTACATGTGCATGTCTCACCCAACAATCATTACCCATATTACAAGAACGCCACACTATTTATATTCTATGCTGTTTATTTATATTCTTAAATATTTATTTATATATATATTTTTAAAGATTTATTTACACATACAAGAACTGGGATATAGGCCAGAGGTGCAAGAGGGTGAAAGGATTCACCAGAGACAGAGTGGGGAGCAGAATAAGCAGACTGACTGAAATACACTGCTGAGGGGAACAGTGGGTGAGACAGGAGAGGTCTGCTGCGCCATGTGGGTTAGCTCCCTGGCTGGGGATCAAACTTGTGCTGCAGTGTCTGAGAATTGCTTCATAGTGCTGAGACTTAACCCCTTGTGCCACCAGGAAGACCCTATTTATATTCTTATAGTTGCTAAGATGTTCCACTGTTATTTATTTCGACTCCTGCCATTAAATGCTGGATACGATGGCCACTCTATAAACATATAGAATATGTGGCCTCACATAGGAGAGAGGGAGAGAGATCACCTCTCCTGAGTTTCTTCTTCTAAGGGTGAATCCCATTCAGGAGCACTCCACCCTCATGACCTAATTACCTCTAATTACCTTACAAATATTCTATACTATATCTATAGTATTTCATTTATTCTATACTACTTTTTTTTTAGATTTATTTTTATTTATTTATGCATATAAGAACTGGGGTAAGGCCAGAGGTGTGGGGGTGAGAGGATTCGCCAGAGACAGAGTGGGGAGCAGAACAGGTAGATCTACTGAAATACACTGCTGAGGAAGCAGTGGGCCAGACAGGGGAGGTCTGCTGCGCCATGTGGGTTAGCTCCCTGGACGGGGATCAAGCTCATGCCTCAATGACTGGCGATAGCTTGATAGTGCTGAGACTTAAACCACTGTGCCACCAGGGAGGCCCAACTATTTCATTTTTAAATGTCTCATATTCACTAAATTGCTGTCAAACTGTCCAATGTATTATATGATTATAATGTATTATAATGTATAATGTATTATATAATGTATAATGTATTATAATGTATAATGTATAATGTCCAATGTATTATATGATTATATGATTTCCAGTATGAAAAGAGTTCACTATATTTAATTCTAGTGGTAGTGGAATTGGAAAAATGCCAATGAATTAAAGTTCATTGGAAAGTAGCACTAGAGAGTTTACAGTATAAACTGTGTGAATTAGAAATCTAGAGAATAAGGTTCTAAAAAACAGTCAGAACCAAAGACTCCAGTTAACATAAAATCCCAGGCAAAATCTCGTAAAGAGAAGGAGCTGCTAAGATGTTCCACTGTGGATGTTTATTTCCACTCCTACCACTGAATGCTGGATGCCATGGCCACTATCACTGGAATGAATTCCAAACCAGCTAGGCTTCTATGTCTCACTCACTACAGATTCAAAGTCCCAGGAGGAAACATCCAGTTAGCATACTTTGGCCACATGCCTGTGTCCAGTCTTTTGAAATCAAGCAGACAGAATCAGACTTTTCAGCTCAAAAAACCACTGAAATGAGGTTAGATTCTAGGCAATAATAAAGAAATGAAAGAATGAACAAACAATAAGGCAATAATCATAAACCACTGGAATAAGCATGTATTGGGACAGCCACTTTGGCGAGTAATTCGGCATTCTTTTGTAGAAGCTATGACATAGAAATTCCATTTCTAGTTCTGATTCAAACTCTCATACAATGTGCAAAAGGAGATATGTTTAAGTATATTCACTGAAGCACTGGCTGTGATAATAAAAACCGAAAGCAACCAAAAGGTTTATCATATTAAAAATAAACACGACTGGGTCTTCTTATAGTTCAGTAACACCCCATTATTGCTGACAGATTATTAGAAAAAAATACTTGTTGAAATGAACTGCCACTGAATGAATCACCATTCAGAAATTACTTAGTGAGGGCCTCCCTGGTGCCGCAAGGGGTTAAGCACAGCACTGAGAAGCTATCTCCAGCCTCTGCAGCATGAGTTCAATCCCCGGCCAGGTAGCTACCCACATGGCACAGCAGACCTCTCCTGACTCACCCACTGCTCCCCTCAGCAGTGTATTTCCGTTGATCTGCCTATTCTGTTCCCCACTCTGTCTCTGGTGAATCCTCTCACCCCCCGCATCTCTGGCTTGTATCCCAGTTCTTCTATGCATAAATAAATAAATCTTAAAAAAAAAAAAAGAAAGAAATTATCCAGTGAGTGAGATGTAGGGTTACACCAAAATATTCATAATCCTTTAGAAGAAAACATAATGTACCATAAAGTATGCAGACTTTAGATTAAGAAAAAGCTTGAGGGCCTCCCCGGTGGCTCAGCGGGTTGAGCACAGAGTTGTGGAGCTGTTCGCAGCCTTTGCGGCGCAGGTTTGATTCCCTGTGGGCCAAGGACATGCCCACATGGCGCAGCAGACCTCTCCTGTCTCACCCACTGCTCCCCTCAGCAGTGTTTTCAGTCCATCTGCCTGTTCTGCTCCCCGCTCTGTCTCTGGTGAATTCTCTCACCTTCCCATACCTCTGGCCTATACCCCAGGTCTTGTATACATTAATAAATAAATCTTGAAAAAAAAAAAGAAAGAAAAAGCTTGATTCGGCATTCAGTTCTGCTTGTGGGAGATAAAGCAAGTTGCTTAATCCATGAGACTCAATGTTCTTGTCTATAATTAAGAATATCAATGAGATAAGGGATCACGGGTGTAGGGCTTCCCTACATGGCTTCCCCATTTTCCATTGCTGCACTGTGAAAAAGTGAAGAGTTGACCAGAATCCCTGGGTCTATCACCTTGGCTTTTAGCATCCTTGTTTATCTTTCATTCCATTATGCCATATAAATACTATAACTTTTGGGCCTCCCTGGTGGCACAAGGGGTTAAGTCTCAGCACAATCAAGCTATCCGCAGCCACTGCAGCATGAATTCCATCCCTAGCCAAGGAGCTGGCCCACATGGTGCAGCAGACCTCTCCTCTCTCACCAGTGTGTTTGCTCCCCTCAGCAGTGTATTTCAGTCAGTCTGCCTGTTCTGCTCCCCACTCTGTCTCTGGTGAATTTTCTCACTCCCCACACCTCTGGCCTACACCCAACTATTGTATGCATAAATAAAATAAATCTTTTTTAAAAATAAATAAATACTATAATTTTCTATGTGTGGATGACATGAAACATAATGGCGAGCAATATTTTTACACTAGCCTGGTGTAGTCTCCAGCACACAGAGCACACCAAGGACATGCTTGTCCCTCCTATATTCTGATGGAAGTTCTTATTCAGGTGTTGATAACACATATCATACTATATGATTCCATTTACATAAAGTTTTCAAAAATGAACTAATCTAAGAGATCTTTAGGGATCTGTAGGGGATCTCCAAATCTTCTTGGAGTGATTCTCCTAGTTATAAAGGACTAAAGAATAGTTTCAATATGCTTTTCACAATAAAGACCTAGAGTAGGACTTCTCTAAATACACAGAACAAAAGTCTAGAGTCATATGAAGAAAGGAAAGAAATTTCTTTCAATTCTACTTATTAAACTTCACTTTTTCCTATTCTACCATAAAGGATCTTTATCTGTCTTTTATGTTATCACCCATAAGTGGTGGTCAAAAGGAATATCTCTCTATTCTGGGTGTTTTCTTCATGTGAAGAGTATTGCATCCATATTACACCCTGAACATGTTTCTCCAAGGGAAGTGGAGCTAATTGATAAGTTTGGAGGGACGAAGTTTGGAAGGACCAACATCTTTCTTCCTTACTTCTTCTTGTGACCTGAGTTCTTAACTGAGTACACAGCACACTTACTAGAAATCATCCTGTTGCCCAGGAGGCCACCTTTGGCCCAGAGCTGTGGATCATTGGATTGGAAAACCTGCCTCATTCCAAAATTTACTGTAGGGCTTACATGTCCCATATAAAACATATTGTCCTGCACTTGCTTTCTCAATAGGCCATACAGGTAGCAGGCCAAGGATGGATCAAGCGGGTGACTTAGAAGCACAGGCTTCTGGAAAAAGTTAGACTTATAATTCACGAAGATCTAGAATTGCATCTCAGTTCAGTCCTTTAAAAGTTGTTTGCCCTTTGGGAAGTTATATAGCCTTCATCTAGCCCACCAATTCCCTCAGAACTAAAATAGGAATGTGAAGGTTAAATGTGTACCTAACATACAACTCTGTCGTTACAATCCTTGAAGTATTCACCCAAGAGACATGAAAGCAAATAACCTTTCCATACTTACAGCAGTTTTATTTGTCAGCATTTCAGACCTAGATTTAAAAAAAAAAAGCTGCTTATCAACTATTAATGGATAAACAAAGTGGGGAAGTCATACAGTAGAAAATCACTCAGCAATTAAAGAATATACACACAACAACATGAGTAAATCTCAAAATACTTATGTGAAGCAAAGAAGTCATACCAAAAAATAATACATATTATATGATTCAATTTATATAAAATATTCAAAAACAAACTAACCAATAGTGTCAGAAAGCAGATAGATTAGTGGTTGCCTAGGGGACTCTGAAAGAAAAATCAGTCAGAAGGAATGGATGACGAGGAACACAAGAAAACTCCTGGGGGAATTAGACAAATTAATTACCTTGATTTCGATGATGATGCAACAGGTATGAAAACTCATTAAATTTTATGTAAATACTTTATGTTCATGGGTCAACCAATTACATTCCAATAAGGTTGGGAAATATGGGTGTCAGTGCATATATAGAGAAGAAATAGAGGGATCAAATTCCCTAACCACTCTTCAAAAGTAGTGCCCTTTGCACCTGCATCCTTATGTTTATAGCAGCACTATTTACAATAGCTAAGCTATGGAAACAACACAAATGGCCAAAAATAGATGACTGGATCAAGAAGATATGGTTTATATACACAATGGAATATTACTCAGCAATCAAGAAAGATAAACTCATGCA